CGTGTCAGCACTGACACGCGTGTCATAGGTTCGCCATCACTGCCCTAGAATCATGGTTGTTCCACCACTGTTGGGTTGTTTTTTTAAAGATTTGTCTGGGATGGTTTGATAATTCCTTCTCTGTGCAGGGGAGCTTCCAAGGTTCCTTTGAATCCTATTGTTCTATATTACGGTTATCTGCTTAATATCTCAGTTCCAGTTTTTAGATGAGGAACCACTAATGCTCACTCTTTGAGTAGGAGTTTTGAAACAGCTGTAACCAGCACATTTAATTTTCAGCCATCACCTTAATCTGATTATCAGATTTATTATTAATTTATTAGCTACCCAACTTCAAAGGAATTGGGCAAATTAATTATGTTATCTTGACAAGTACTTTCTTGAAATCAAAATACATCTGCTAAGAAATTTAGAAGATCAAAACAAGAGATAAATTCAAACTGTCAGGACTTGTTCCAACTAATCCATGCTTTTTTGGCAAGCTGTTTACTGATTGAGTTCTGTTCTGCAAAACTTTCCCAGATATCTATGTTTGACAGTTTGATTAGCAATTCCTCAGTCCTGCACACTTTAATACAGGGATAATGTTTTATGAGATTCATTCAAAGCAGATCACAGAAGTGGAAGGATTTGTTTTGGGAGATTTTAGTTTATGCGGCACATGGGAAAACATTTAAACAAAACTTGTAAAAAACTGAATCAAAGGTGGTTCTTAAAGGACAAGTAATTCCAAACTAAACTAGATAAGGAAAATGGCATTCAAGTGGAAAAGTGCCAGAAAATATAAGAACAGCAGCCAAGCTGGCTCTGGCTAAGCCTGTTGGGAATGATAAAAGTGAACAATAACATTCTGGAGTCAATATACAGAAATGGGAGATTTCCAGCTAGATATGATTACCTGGTTGGGTTCAGGTTCAGTTTCATTCCAGTTGTGTGTCAGATGACCCTGATCAATAGACTGGAAGGGCTTATGGCAAGCAGAAGGCAGAATTCTATATAGCCAGCTAGGGAGAAAATAAATGCAGAGAAAAGTGTGATTATCCAAGTAATGATAATATTCAGTACTTTGTTGATCTTTGAAATAAGCTACAACTTTATCTAGAAAATCTAGAAAATGCACCTTCTAGATAATTATATTAGAGCAATAGGGGGGGGGGATCCCTTAAACATACAAATCTGCCTTCCACTGTGGAGTCATTCTTGGTCCCTTAGTTCTCTCTTGCCTCCTGTGCTTTACATTGAACTTTGGGAACTCAGTAGCAGTACCATGGTATCCCCAAGAGGCAGGGGCAATCCATATCAAGTACACTTAAAGTGGGGAGGGGGGGCTAGTTAATGTACAACAATGGCAAAATGAGCAATTGTTTATAATCTTGACTTGAAGGGTAAAGGGAAAGTCCTAGGAAATTTGACTTAAACAGAGTTTTCCTTTCATTGGTAGGAATTCAAGATTGGTGCAAATACTCAGATGGTGGACAATTGATAAGTACAGATAGTTCTGCTTTCTAGAGATTGTGACTCCCTGCTTTAAGATCTATGCAGGCTGGATGCATCATGTGTTGGCCACACCCACCTCCGAAGGGGAAAAAGGTTGTGATACATCCAATGTTCCCTCTAATTTTTTTTTCAGTGTGGGCGGAAAAGTATAGTGTTTGAGCGGCACATTTTCATGCCTCAGCACCTGAATTTTTTTCACAGNAAAGAATAATAAGTTAACTACGTAAGGGGGAAGCCAAGAATTTTAATCATTGCTGCTTAATAAGTCAAATGACTATTAGCTAATTGTCAGATGGCTATTAGGACAAGCCTACACTAGAAGAATAACAATGTAATTATGCATTTTAAAGTGCTTAAGGATATATTTTGAGCAAGAGATTATAATCTAGAGAAAAATGGGCACAAAGATGTGTTAGATATTTATGTCTGCAATAGATTAAACTGAGAATATCACTTGCTCAAAGTCATTCCATGGGTAAATTTGAATCTCTGCCTTTCTAGTTTTAACTGAATAAGCTACACCTACAGTTATAGGATTTGAAGGGATTTATAAATAAGATTCTTTACAAATGAATAGAAAGTTATTCTGGGTTTTTGTAATAAATGCCCTATGAATCTTATTTGAATATATTAAGAATGTTAAATCAGCACTGCCCTAATAGTGTAGAACTCCAATGGGACTAGAATCCTCTATGGCTACAAGTATAGACTAAAGAATAAACTCTAAAGTATAGAGTAAAGAGTAACATATAAAGTAAAGAATAAACTCTAGCCCACAGGCTATGTATAAATAAAAGCTTATGGCAGCCCAGGCAGACCTTATTAGACCTACTCCAAGTTAATGGCATTATTAATTTGATGAAACTCAGTCTTCCAATAACAAAGTTTATAAAAGAAAGAAGCCTGTGTGAAAATGCATTTTTCTCTTCCTCAATATCATTTCTTACAAAAAGCATTTCATATGTATTCTTGTTCCCATTCTCTTCACATTTTAAAATAAATCTTAGATCCTTAAAAGCTGGATCTTGTTGGACCATCCTACAGTAGTGTACCTTAAAATTTGGTCCTAAGACCCTGGGCATTCTTCAAAATTTGTAATATAATAAACACTGATTAATAAAACTCATTCAAACAAAAGCCTTTTTGGATTCTCCAAAATTTTTAAAAGTGAGAAACATCCTGAGAGAGAAAAACAATTAACATTGGCTTACAGAGAAAGATTAATTCACTGCATTTTATTTGTAATTCAGTTAAATAGAAGAGACAACTAGCTGAAATTTTATGGCAACCCAGTGTAAATATGAAAACCAAAACCCAAAAGAAACCAGTTCCATACCAAATTCCATACAGAAACATTAACGTACATCTATTCTTGGATCTACTAAGAGAGTAAATAATACTGGAGGATTATGGAACATTATGTCAAGTCAACTGAGTTACTCAGCTGAACAAAGTTTGTCCACCTATTGAAACCAAGAGACCAAGCTAGTTTATAACAGATACTTACCTGTAGGAGCCTGTAGTCACTCTTACACCATCAACAAGCATGAACTTCTCATGGACACTCCCAATTATCTTAGCTCCTGATCTTGCATAATATGTGTTTCCAGTAATAGTTCGGACTCTCATTAACTGTTTTCAAAATGACAAAATTTTAGACAAAATTATCAAGGCAATGTCACCTACATATAAAAAGGGCTATAATAGCAATGCAAAACTATAATATAGTGAAATATAAATGTTTGGGGCTTTGTCAAGTCAACTTTCTCATCCTCCAAGAAAACAAGGGGCTATTGTAAAGGTAACATCCTTATCTACTGGGTGCTAATGAGTTCCATGCATTTCTTTGTTCCGAAATTGAAACTTCAAAATTAATCTTAAGTGACTGTTTTTCTTCTATGTGATTGAAGATTTTTTCTGCTGTCAGTTAAAAGGATGGAACTGTGCCTCATCCATTCAATTCCTTTGATATGACGAAGGGATAAAATGGGCTTGACAGTGCAGAAACAAAGATTTATGACTAAACAACACAATGCTATTCTTATCTTCAACTGCAGATTTCTCCATTAGAGCTTCTGTACACTATCAAAGCAGTAAATCAGTTTTCTTATTAGTAATAGTCACAGAAGCCACAGCATTAAGAAATGTCAAGAAAACCTGCTTCAAGGGATAACAACTGGAAAAAATGATAAGAATGGCAGAAATTGAATCAAAACCTTTATTTATAGTGCTAGCTAAACAAAATACAAATACAAAATTAAGAATACAGGAAAAGGAAAACCTAAGCCTGAAACATTTGTTGATAAGATGATATCACTAGCTTCTGCAGCTGTTCCTAAAAATGTGGCAATCCAAATTATGACTTTCAGAAGACTAAAAATTTTTTGATCAAAGAAAATTTCTGAAAACCAGGTTTATAAATCCCAGATGCTATAGACCATAAATGAGAAATGCAACAATATAATGAATAACTGACTCAACATCTGAATCTGAACAGTGCCAGATACAACTGCTGTATGGGAGACTAATATATTTTTCTATAGTTATAATAAGAAGTGCTCCAATTGATATCAATTTTTTTTAAAAAAAAATCACATTCAGCAGATAGTCCTTGAGTTACGATCAAATGGTACTTGCCCATCACAACTTAATTTTAGACTATTTTTGACATGGTTGTTAAATGAATGCTGTGGTTGTTAAATGAACTAAAGGTTTACTAAGGAGTACAATTTTTCCAAAAACTATAAGAAAATGCTGGTTTTTAGCAAAACACTCATAAAACATGGTGATATGACTGTGTGACATTACAAATGATCGTAAATGCAGCTTGGTTGCTATCATTTGACTGCAAGAGAGCCCAACTGTTGAGAAACTTTAAATCTGCATCATAAGGACCTCATCAGAAGGTCTATCAGAACTTCAAACAGTCACTAAGTGGCAGGTAGTAAATCGATAACTGTATATGAAGGTTGTTACAGAAGTAGCCAGGAACTGACAATGAAGAGTCTACAATTGTGCCATAATAGAAATTGATTATTTGATTCTTGACATTTTGTAAATCTAAATTCCAAATCCTCTATTTAGTTTGATTAAAGCTTTATCTAGGCTGAGTGAAGATACTGCCATAATATGCTGGATCAGAATAATTTGCCTCCTTAGTGATGAAGAAAATCTAACCAGGAGTGTTAAGTGATTTAACCAAAATTTGAGTTGTCAATTTCTCAGGCAGGCCCCAAGAGAGGGAGGTAAAGTATGGCATTCAGAAACCAACTTAGTAGCTTCTAAAGTTGGAGCATCTTTATAAACACAAGGTTGTGCAGAACGTAACAGAACATGTATAAAGTATAAAGCAGAACATTTGCTTTATAAAATTATATTGTTATAGGAGCATAATTATTGACTTAGCACACTTTAAGACTGTGTTTTTGAGCTCTAATACAAAGTTTCAATTGGATTTTTCAGTGAGTGAAGGGTTAGAAGTGGATGCTAGGTACTTGAAGTCTTAACCAGATCAGTTGAACTTTTATTGATATTCCATTTAATGGAGACTTAAAGTACATGCTACAGAAAACTAGAACCATAGTTTGGTTAGTAATGGATCTCAAAGAATTTGCTAAACTAGTAGGAAATTAAAGTAGCTCAGCACCTATGAAAGATTGCTTGGGTTACAGGTAAAATGGCTCCATTGCCTCCACATTGTCTCCATTCGGAATTGAAATGAGACAGTGAGCCTAGCAGAAGTTATTTACCAGTCAAAAAAAATTATGCTGGTAACTGGACCAATATTCATATATTAAATGTAAATAGAGAAAAAAAGATAGCAGATAGGGAACCTTAATCCTCTTTAAGTTATCAGATGGCTATATGCTAAACCAGTGATGGGCAACCTTTTTGGCGTGGTGTGTCAAAAATCGGCAAAAAATCGACGCTCACAGTTCCCGTTGGCACTCCGCTGTTCCCTGCTGTGGTGCGGTCGTAACCGACAGTCCCAGGAGTAGACTCTCTGTGCCGGCCTGACTGGAGAGAGGCGCGCACTGTTCCCGCGCTCCTGCGGGTCCTCCCTCACCGCGCTGATGACGTGTGTGCGCGCACGGCACGCACGCCTTACCAGCAGCCCCTGCGCTCAGAAAGGGGCGGAGGCGATACAGTGAGTGAGTATGGGCGGGGGAGATCACACGTCCCGCCCCCCCCGTTCCTCCAGCACATATTTTTTCATCCTCGGCGGCCGTGCAGGAGCCGAGGATGAATCGCATGAAATCCTGTGCGTGTCACCCCAAATGGCTACGCGTGTCAGCACTGACACGCGTGTCATAGGTTCGCCATCACTGTGCTAAACTGATTCTACAAATTTCTGAGATTATACTACTTGTTTATTTTCTACAGCCACGGATGCACCATTGACACTCTTTGGTAAAGATTGTAAGATAGCTTGTAAAGCTATTTTATCAGTGTAGATAAACTTTCATCTTCTAGAGAAAGCCATTTTGAAAGGCAGACACTTCATTACCTACTCCTGAAGTTTTTAATATCATTTATGGAATCAAATATTATTAATGACTTTATTACTAAAAATAGTTTATGACTTTCTCCTCTTTTTCAACAGTGTTCAAATAATCTTGTTTATGTATATGTAAAGATAGAAATGTCCCATAACATACGTTTTCCTGTTCAGGGGAGAATTCCAAGTTTTTGCACATTTCCAAGAAATGGCAGAGAAAATTTTGATCCAGAAGTATATACACAGGAACCAGCCTCTTCTTACAAGCTTCCTGAAGGTCAGTGAAGATGTCCATATCTGTGAAGGTGTCCATAACCACAGCAATAACCTTGAAGATAAAAATGAAATGAATTCCAACATTACAAACATTTTATCAGAGGCTTTAGCACAAAATGAAATATCTTTCCATGCTGTGGCACAACTTTTCTGATTATACCATGCAGATATTCTAGATGCCATTTCCATAATTTTTAGCTAGTATGAATATTCACAGCTCAAATACTTAGAAATTCCTTTTATAACCCTTCTTCTTTCCAACTATAAAGTGCAATGGAACATTTCTGTTCTCTTAGTGCTACTGGACTAATGAATTAGAAAAAGGTATGCTTGATATTTTCAATGTGAAACATATATCTTCCATGATGACATGAAATTTAAGAAATTAATATATGTGGATATATCAGGCCTTTATATAGTTTCCTATTTAATCCAATTTTTAAAAACATACGTATCTTCTGTATTATATCATATTTTATTGAATAAATATGGTGGAGGAATATGTAGAGTGATTTTTGCCTGCCTATTAAAAACTTTGCCTCAGTGTTAAATGCCCCAGCTGAGGAGCTTCACATTCTTCGTCACTGCTTATTTTACAAGATTGAGGAGTTAGGAAAAGCTCACCAAGCTTCTTACCAGCCAACCTGTAATTGCAACCTATTTGCTGGGAGGAATCGTGGTTTTCATTCTTTTAGTATAACTAATCCTACGCAGTCTACTAATTAGCTGATTAAGAAACTACCTGGATAGCTAGCATTGAGGGTGGGGAAGCCACTGATTTCTTATCTTCAATAAAGGTTTGTTCTTACAGTCTAGATCAGCCTTCCCCAAGCTGCATAAACTGAAGTATATAAAGTTGTATAGCAATGGCCATACTGGCAATTGAATTCTGGGATAAAAATCTCAGATAATGAAGACCAATCCAGAAAATATGCAAAGATTGTAATATATTTTCTTTTTCGCTTCTGTTGAAAATATCACATGTTCCTGCAATTAACCTTATATGTTGGGCTTGTATAATTACTTTCATCATGGCCACTAGCAGCTACTGTAACAAAGTCAACTATCTTTCAACATTTTCTCCACTCCCTTCCTTCAAGGCAGAAATTGAGCCAAGTACCAGCTTGCTGCAGGTGTTGTTGGGAATGTCAGCACTGTATTTAGGATTTGAAACTGTTCAGAACAAATCTACAAGCTACATGTGATTTCTCATTTTTGGAATGACAAACACACATAAATGTGCCAAATACAGGAATGACAAATTATTAGAACTTGGCACTGCTTTTGTATAGGAATGTCAAGTATTCCTGGATGCTGGAAGTAAACACTAATTGCCTGATATTTTTACAATCCTACACAAGGAAAGGGCAGAAAAAGAGTCATCACAAGAACAATGCTTTTCAAGTCTCTGGCTTATCAAATACCTTTTGTATATTAATTGTGGCACATTTATAGACGCCATCCTAAATCAAGACATCACTATGACTTTCTATCAGTGATATAGAAGAATAATTTACTATTTAGTAAATTCTCATTCTTATGCAGAGATTTGTATTTTCTTCAAGAAAAGTGATATCTGGCTCTGGCACTTTATGTTCTTTCATTCCCAGGATATTTTTTTAGCCAGATGTTTGGCAGACAGAAATTTAAAAAGTAATCTTCTACATGACAATACAATCCAGGTTACCTGTCTAAACATCCCATCATGTAATCTAGTGGCTGTTTCCTGTACAGCATTTCCTTCCCTTCCTTCACATTCCATGCACTTTTCCTATCATGATCTAAATAAATTGCCTTTGAGTCAACTTAATATTTGACTGTGGCCCTTGAATCTCCAAACTCTAAGACGTGTTAGCCAAAATAACCTAAGCCAAGGTTTACCAAACTAAACCATTTGCCTGTCTGTATAACATGCTAAACTACACTTTGTTCATATTTCATATTAAGCCGCACATACCCAGCTACTTTTTAGTCTATCACATTGAGTAAGTCAAATGCTTCATCTAGAGCAGTGTTTTTCAACCTTTTTTGTGCAAAGGCACACTTTTTTCATGAAAAAA